GTTGGATTATCTTCCCTTTATTAACTTTTTAATTATCATTTTTTTACATCCTTTTGTTTATAGTGGCTAAGGCAGCTATTCTTACGAGAACAATAGAAGATTTTTGGCGAAGCTCATGTATAGTTTACATAATCTTTTTCACAATCTCATCTCTCCTTTCTTAATTATTGTCTAATATTATCTCACCATGTGGCGCTATTCATTGCTCTTGCGAAAATCTATCACGTGACTTAAATCGCGTCCCCCATTTTCCTCCTCACGCTACGTTGAAGTTAAACTAAGACCCACCATCATTTGTGCCTAGGCCACATGCCGAAATAAAACCCTATAATACAGATACTATATATTTTTCCATATTTTAATAATAAATAATTAAATCAACCATCCTTTATATTTCAATCATAGCCTCTATACTGTGGGAGTTTAACGGCGAGTCAGTCGCTAAAGATTACAAGTCTTCGCGTAAACGCGGATAGGTGAGTAATAATTAAAGTTAATGAGGCGTGTCTGATTTGGTCGAGTATAATTTTTTGTTTAAACTTGTTGGTTATTACCTTTATTAACTTTTAACCTTTCTTTTTATACACCCTTTATTTACAAAGGCTAGTGCTACACTCTTAAGAACGATGCGTGTGTTTCGGCAAAGCCAAGTCTAAAATTACATAAATATTTTCATAATACCTCCCTTTATTCCCTACAATTAGATAATACGGCACGATCGGTCACGTGACATGAATCGCGTCCTAACACCATAACTGTCGTCTTTACCATAATCTCTGCTATTAATACGAGCTGAACTACCTTTCTAAATTTATCCCGAGATTACGGAGTTAGTGGTTAAAGTGAATATGGGGTCATAAGATAAAGGTAATATTTCTCCATATTTGCATAGTTCCTCGGTCAGTTCTTTCCGGTGAATTCCCATATTCTATTCTTGTTATAATAATTATTGTCACCAATGTTCAAAATTATCAGGGAGTATTCTTGCATAGTACCTTGGCATACTGATTCTCCTAACCCAACACATTGTTTGTCAAGTTCAAATTGGCTATCGTGGTATTCTTTCATGATGCATTGACTAATCATTTTCCTGTCTATTTACCAGAATAATAAATTACCAGCAATATTTTAGTTGGTCAAGGTAGCATTATTGCATAGTGCACTTTTTCCGTCGATTATCCTATTCTATCACCACTTAAATATAAATTGATAGTATTTCAATTAGTATTTTCTACCGATTCTTCTATTGTGTTACAACTATTTTTCCTAATCCATAATAGTGAAAATATTCATGTTTTCATCGCACTTTAATTAAAATCATTGATTTTAAGTTCTATAGTGAAAAATTCTTGTTTGAGCGATTAGCTTAGAGTATGGGGAAGTTACAGCAATTCGTTTTAGGTCCTTATAGTTAGAAATTCAATATCTTACGCCTCTAACATTACTGCTAATGAAATGTAACAAACAATTGTTAACCGAAAAAAATATGGAATATTGATTAAATTCACGAACTCTCTGAAAATGAGCACTATTATCGCAAGTTTATGTAACACAGATCGATTTGAAAACCTTTTATTATTACAATACTTGATGACTAATATAAAGGAACTCAGGCACAATATATAAAAAAAAAAGGATTTTTATACTGTGGGTCATACATCATCTCTCATTTATAATGTGATGGGTGAATGTCGAGTTTGTCGCCAACGAAGAACAGAATTCGCGTAACCGTCACTTTAGCTTATCAATTAAAATTAAAAAGAGGTGGATTGAACTTGACCAAATTCTCTGTCTTTATTTGATATTTTCTTCAACCTTTTATAGATGTTTAGACGGACATTTAGATGGAAACTATTGGAGTTCAAAAGAAAAGGAGCTATTAAAGGTAAGCGATTCTAAATTGCATTACATTTTTACATTCTTATTCATCATCATTTAAAGAGTTGACTGTCTAATCGCAAAGGACGCAATGATTACGTATTACGTACGTATTTAAAGTCACGTTACTTTAGTCAATTACTCGTCATGAGCTTTTTCGTTACTGTATAGCAACTGAAATTGATACTTATAATTGATTTAATTAATTATGGTAATTAATACATCTATACATCGTATAGTGAATAGAGAATTGCGTATGTATTAAGTAATTCGTTCGGTTATTTACAATCGCGATAAATTAATTGTCATGGAGTCATTATTTAGTAAGATTAAGTGTAGAGTAGGCATATAAAAAGTACTTTTCCTTTTTTGTAATGAATTTTTATACATTTATCAGAAATATGTCCATCTCCCAAGAACATCAAACACAATCCTTTTTCATTATTTTTTCTATTAATCTTCTTTTAATATATATCATTTTTACTGCAAATTTTTTCCACCTTCGTAATGAATCTTTATACGTTCATCAAGGAAACACGCATATCGTCCAAGAACGTCCTGTGCAAACTTTTCATTTTGTTATTGATCAAGGAGATACGGTCACCGCCCAGGAACGTCCTGTAAAACCTTCAAACTTTAATTATTTTAATTATTTTAATTTATATTTATTGTTTTTAGTTTATTATACTCTAAATCCTAATATATTTTTTGTATATCAGCATCAGGAATTCAATTGGGTCGAAAGTTGCAAAGGTCAAATTCCAGAAGGTGCATGGTATGTCGGTGGATACGCTATTGGCCGTGGGCAGTACAACAATGGCAAGCAAGTGGGCTATGTTGTACCTGGGAAGGGTTTGGTGATCGGCTATAATACAAAAGAGATCACATTAAGTCATTATGAGGTTCTCAAGGGAGATCCAACTCAATATCGTTGGATTCGATGGTAGGCATTCCTGATTTTCATTACCATATATCTGTTAATAACATTTCTGCACAAATATCAATCGATCTAGTCAAGGTCCGTGCAAGCCACAACATTTCGTTCCCTTATACGGCGGTCACGAAGGTGTAAGTAAAAAAACAAATGAAACTAATTGATTCTGATTAAAAAATTTCTAAAATAATGATGATATACAGGATGGTCGCGAGTTATACATTGCTAAGGGATGGTATAACAACCGCGAGTTTATCGGAAAAGCTGCTCCTGTAAGTTTCAATGCTCGAATAATATATTAGATGTTGTTTTTTATTACCATTACCATTACCATTAACTTTCTGCAAAAAGCACCTGGGTGGGATGAACTTCGGATATATGGGCCACGATCATTATCTCCACGATTATCAAGTCCTAGCATTATTGGATTAACTTTTTGATTTCTTTATTTTTTTTGGTATGCAAACAACAAACCATGTATAATTAAACAGAAAAAAAATTAAAATTAAAACATTGTTTATAAGCTTTAGATTATTCAATAAACATTTTTTGTTGAATGTGTTTTGACGTGATGTTATTTCATTAATTATGCTAATAAAAAAAATCAAGTATATTTTAGTTATTTTAGAAAAAAGATTAATTACTGTATATAGTAAACCGATTAAAATTGTAATTTTACAAAATTAAATGTTTAAACTTTTAGGTATTCTGTATATAACCAATTAGAAACTCAAAAACAAAAAATCAAATAAATTTATTTAGTGATATTTTATAATACAGTTAAATATTTGTAATTTTTGCAAATATAAAATTTAATTATTATTTTTATGCAAAAAAATTTCTATAGATTAATTTTATAGTGATGTTATATAATCCTACAGATTGATATCAATTTGTTAACCTCGTAACAAATTTACGTATTCAAAAAATTTTTATAATTTTTTATTACTTGTCTAAATAAGTTTTTTTTTTTAATATTTAGATTTTTTCATACAAAAAAAATTTTATACCAAAATATTTTTAATTCGAATCTATAGTATGTTACCAACAATTATGATATTCTATATCTATACTACTAAAATTCTAATCTCTGTCCGCTTTAAACGATCTGATTGGTCAGTGTAAATCACATGATCGAATAGTATAGGGCCCTATGCCACAGCCACTGCACCTCCTGTCCCAAAATTCTGATCAATTCTTACGTAATGGACAGGCTGTGGCGTTTTTAGTCACGAGACTCGAATTTTTGGTGGCCGCCTTGGTATTGTCCAAGTCCGAATGATATGTTATAAGTGATCAAGATTAGCCTGACGACACGAAAAATATACTTTGTAATTTCACGCAATATGTCAACTAAAATTTAATATCTAAATCTGGCAACACGTTATAAGTAATTATTACATGTAATACATAGAATTTGATGACAAGACAAGATTAGAATTTGATGAGCTTGACGACTCGAAAAATATGCTTTGTAATTTCACGCAATATGTCAACTAAAATTTAATATCTAAATCTGGCAACACGTTATAAGTAATTATTACATGTAATACATAGAATTTGATGACAAGACAAGATTAGAATTTGATGAGCTTGACGACTCGAAAAATATACTTTGTAATTGCATGCGATATGTGTCAACTAAAATTTAATGACATACATAAGAACGAACGATAATTTTGTTATGTAATAAAATTAATATAATGTAAAGTGTACATGAAAATGCTATAAAATGTTCAAAAAAACAATTAATTATTAATAAATGCATCTATTTATTATTGCGCTTTGCACTTTACCTATATATCGAACTTAATACACTGTATACATCATGCTTATTACATCATCACCACTCAAAAGTATAATAGCGGTTCAATTATGTTGGTAATAAACTTCGTTCACGCAGATTCATAACCTTTTGTTCCCTTATGACACGTAATGCACATTCTTTTACAAGTCAAGAACGCAGAGAAGCAGATTCTGCCTGAAAACGTAGAAATAGAGCCATGGAAACTGTTAGGCAACGTCAACAGAGGCGCCAGAGTGATGCTGCAGCTCACCGCCAACGGTACACCAATAATCCTCAGCTGCACAAATTCACTCTTAAATTCTCTGAAGATACGGATGTAGGCAATTATTTTGCTTCGCACAGAATCGATGTTACTAACAGCACTATATGTAATCACTGTAATGCGCTTAAGTTACCTACAGAAAGTCCAGGAATGTGCTGTTCCAATGGAAAGGTAGTGTTGATGGAACCTACTATTCCACCACTTTTGCAACATCTCTTTACCAGTCAGGATGATATTGCAAAGGATTTTCATGACAAAATTCGTTTTTACAATTCGGCATTCACCTTTGCTTCCGTTGGTGTCAGGTTCGATCGCGAGCTCGCTAATGCAAAGAACGGCATCTATACTTTTCGTGTTCAAGGTTCATTTTATCACCGGATTGGTTTGCTACTACCAGAGGCAGGATCTAATCCCCACTACCTACAGATGTATATCTATGATACCCAACATGAACTACACCATCGAACGAATACCATCCCTAATTCAAATCTCAATCCTGCTATTGTCGAAGACATAAAAGCCATACTTGATGAAGTGAACCCCTATTCTATTAACTTTCGATACATTTCCAATTTTCCTGAAGAAGATATCAAAAATCTATCGATGCTTATTCATACAAACATTCCTGGACTCGACCAAAGAACCCATAATGTTCCAACGGCTCCTCAGGTAGCGGCAATCTGGATCAATAATAATGTGCCTCCCGGTGCGATTCAGAAACGCGACATTCTATTACGTACACGAATGAATCAGCTGATTCATATCTCTGAGTTCAGTGGGTGCTACGATCCTTTGGCCTATCCACTTCTATTTCCTCATGGCGAGCAAGGATGGATTCCTCAACAA